GCAGGGGGCACCACGGGGACCAGGGGGGACCGCGGGGAACATGGGGAAACATGGGGAACACGGGGAACACGGGGAACATGGGGGAACACGGGGAACACGGGGAACATAGGGAACATGGGGAACATGGGGAAAACGGGAAACATGGGGAAACATGGGGAACACGGGGAACACGGGGAACATGGGGAACATAGGGAACATGGGGAAACACGGGGAACATGGGGAAACACGGGGAACATGGGGAAACACGGGGAACACGGGGAACACGGGAAACATGGGGAACATGGGGAACATGGGGAAACACAGGGGAACATGGGGAAACATGGGGAACACGGGAAACGTGGGGGAACATGGGGAACCACAGGGAACACGGGGGAACATGGGAAACGTGGGGAAACATGGGAAACCATGGGGAACACGGGGAACACAGCTCAGTTTATTCCTCACTTCCATGTAGAAAAAAATTAAACTTAATCGTCGTTTTCTCAACAGAAGAAATTACAAATAATTATGATGTTGATTATTTTTTTACTTTTTATTTAAACTGAAGTGATTCTTTACTTGTTGGATCAAATATGTTAATTATTACATTTTGAATTAAATAAAGTTAAATTAGGTTTTTGACAATGATTGAAGGGAATTTAAACCAAAGGTGATTATTAATCAACTGCTGAGTCATCGTTTTCTATAAACGATCAGCGAAGGAAAGACGCTACAGCGTTTTAGTTAAATGAATTTATTTGTTTATTCATACTTTTAATACTGTATACACTAAAAAAAACTTATTGGCAGAAAAAGTGATTAATCAAAAACTCCATTACTAATGAAATTATTTGTTTATTTGCATCTTATTTATTTCTATTATTGTGATTAAATAAATAATCAGAAAAATCTTTTATCCAACTAACCGTTCCAGGCCTAAACTATGAAATAAATGATTTTTACATTTATGTTTAACTTTCATTTTTTAAAACAAAACAATAAAATAAATATTTTCTTAGATTGATCACAGACCAGAGGAAACATTACTCCACGTTTCATGTTTAAGGATCAAAAGACAAAAACGATTTAAACCGAAACCATCAGGAGTCGGAACTGGAGTGTGTGTGTGTTTCCTGGAGTGACTCAGCTATGAATTGTGGGAAACGCGGTGCGGCCTCTCTCACCTCGGGGGCCTGGAGCTGTGGAGAGAAGCCGACGTCCTCCAGCGGTTTCCTCCTCTGCTGGACGCGCCGCTTGATGCTCAACGTTTCTTCTGCAACAGTTAGAACAGGCAGGTCAGCTGACCCGTCGCCATGACGACCAGGACTCATTCTGACAGCAGCTCCGGTCGTTACAGAAACACCTACTGCTGTCAGAAACATCCATGCAGACATGAAATAATTAAATGCAGAAACTATCAGAATGTTGGAGATTTAACTGTGAAAATAATCATTTTTATATTTCTGGTAGAACATGATTGGATGAAACGGATCTGACGTCTGATTGGTCAACCTCTGGCCAATCACTGTCAACTAGAGCAGAGTTGGCCCCGCCCACTGACCTGATTAACCATTAATAAGTTAGAATTGATAAGGCTGTAAATATACAGCTCAAAAAAATAAAGGGAACATTTCACTTTAACTTTGTGTGTGGCTCCAAATCCAGGCCTCCATTGGTTAATAAATTTGATTTCCATTGATGATTTTTGTGTGATTTTGTTGTCGGCACATTCAACAGAACAAAGTATTCAATGAGAATATTTCATTCATTCAGTATTTGAGTGTTCCCTTTATTTTTTTGAGCAGTGTATAAAATAAATATTATTAAAACAAAATAATAAAAAAAAAACATTTGAGAATTAATGCACACAGAGTGGCAGATTTTAATCTGAGATCAACTGGTGCTGCTGGGCCGGGCCAACGCTATGGTGTAGTCAAAGTAAAAGTCAGTAATTATGTGTTTTCCAGGCACAAAGTGACATTCCCTACCTAATCAGTAACTATGCTTCCTTCAGTTGTTTTAAAAATGTTATTTATATCAAATATGGCTTAAAAGATATTTAACTTTGTAACTTAACACCTGAAATTGGGCCTCTGTCTCTTTAAGAACTCTGAAGCTCCGCCTCCACGAAGTCGTCCCAACATGGCTCCTCTATTAACCCTTTAATGTTTTTACTTGCAGCAGCTCCTACAATGAGCAGTTTGCTAATTGCTGCTGGCTAGTCTGAAGGAGCTGAGTGGGGGGGAGCTGCGCCCTGAAGGCGGGGCTAGGTCCGCCCAGACCGAACGGTTGCCATGGAGATCAAAGGATTTCTCTAACATGAAAGAATCAAAACAACACTGCAGGTTTGTTTCTGATGAAGATAGATCAGAAACTAGCGTTAGCTAGTTCTCCCAGCTAACGTCGACTCTCTACTTGATGCTTGTTTCCATGGTAACGTGAAGCAGCGGAGCAGAACTCTACCTGGAGACTCCGGACAGGTGAGGACGATGCTGTCCACTTCCACGGCCGGCTGTGTGGACGAGAAGTTGTTTCTGCGGGACAGGAGGGACAATAGATCGTCTCTAGCCACGTACTCATGAGGAGGCAGAAGCGTGCGCGTGAGGACGGCTGACCTTTGACCCGGCTTCCTGGCGGCCGACGGCGCCTGGGCGTGCTGGAAGTGGCGGCCCTGCAGGACGATCCCTGGAGGAAGCGCCGAGGTGAAGATCAGGTTCAGGTCGGTTCTGGTGGAGGACTGCGTCGGTACCGGCAGCGCCACGTCACTATGGGGCAGAGAGTGGATCAGAACCAGAACCGGGACCGGGACC